ATTGGTAGTTCATTTTTTAAAAGTCATTGAACATTGTGTTGAAGCTCCACTGGTAAAAAAAACAATTATATATATTATAGTTGTTGACGAAAATAAGGTACCTATTTATTCATCGCATCCCACCAAGAATTTCTAATGTAAGCTAAACTGTGATAATATATGTAAACAATTGAAAAACAAAATAATAAAATATTTGTAAATACTTGCTTTAGAACATTTATCCGTAATAAAATAGAACAAGATAGTCTTCGGCATGAAAGTAAAAATAAACTTTTTCGATTATTTTTGCAATATCGTCCGATAGACGCTAAAATTTAGTGAGCACTGTCAAATTCAATAAAATTGATAGAAAACGCTACTTGGTATAGAAGGGAAAAATAAATTATGTAAATTAAAGTAAAATCACTTTATTCATTGTATTTAATTTAATCAATTATAACTAAATATAATTTTTCGGAAACCGGCTTTTTCGGGAGGCTGAAAGTCGTCGAGTCTGCATACGAGACGATTCGTAATGACTCTCGAAAACAGCACGTAGACGCGGCTCAGAAGGGAAATCGGTCTGTAGTTCTTCAAGAGAGCGTTGTCACCTTTCTTGAAGAACAAGACCACCGCACTTCTACTCCACGCCTCCGGTGTAATGCCACCATGGAGGACGGAATTAAAGAGCTTCTGAAGGACTTCAAGTACCGGTCTTCCACTTCAGAAGCTTTCAGAAGCTCCGCTGTAATTCCATCCTCGCCCGAGGACTTGCCGTTTTTAAGGTGCTGGAGAGCCATTCTAATCTCGCTCAGACTGACGTCCGGGATATCTTCGGAATAGTGTCGGATAAGATTCACTCTTGGATCGTTACTCACACTTGCATGTGGCTCCAACGATGACGTGTACAACTGCCCATAGAACCTCTCAATCTCACTCAAAATCTCAGGTGTCCCAAAAACGATGCTGCCACCCTCGTTCTTCAGCTTCAACAGTTGGCACTTTCTGGTTGACAGATCTCTGGCAAAGACTTTGGAGCCCTGATTCCGCTCGATCGCTTCTTCAATACGAGCAATATTAAAGTTGCGTTAGTCTCGCCGAATGCGTTTGGTGATCTGTCTGTTCAGTTGCCTGTATGCTATCAAATCTACTGAAGACTGCTACTTCATTTCCCGTCAAACAGATATGAGATTAAGAGTGTGATCGGAGAGTTTTTGTGTTCTTTTGCGGCGGGTCTTGCAAAACTTAACTCCAACCGCATGGACAGTTTCCACCAGCTTGTCATTTATATCGTCCACTGCATTGCCATTTTCTAGGCAATGAAAACGATTTGGTAACGCTATTTTGATTATATTTAATCAAAATAGCTCAATAGCTTTATTAACACGTGACACATTGTACTTATTATATTCAACGTTATTTTATGGAATCTGAGAAAGTTGAAAATTTAAGTATTTTCAAAAGCTACTTTGCAATTATTCTATTGAGTGAATTTTGTGGAATCATGTTTTGAAAACCGCCACCTGGAATACATTTTTTACACTTTATATTTTTCAGATAATGGCTTGTCTAAAATTTAAAGAAAACACAAGAACTTCTTTATTTTTCTTTATGCACTTAGGGAAACAACAATTTCATTTTATTTAAATTAATTGATGTAATTTTATAATAGTGTACCTAAATGTATCTGTATCTAGATTTCCCTTTCCAATAATGTTCTATTAAAGTCATAGTCATAAAAATAGCGTTTTATTGTAATATATAATTATGAAATTTAGTATCACCTACTTATCAAAAACTATCAAAATATAAGTAACGAGAGCATGTTTGTCGTTCCACATCTAAATTATATAAAATGCATTTTTCAATTTTACTAATCAACGTCGCCGCGATATTTTCTTCTTCTTTGGACACTTTAAAAATTAATTTATTTAGAAAACAATATTTACAGCTACCAATGATCTGTACATTAACTAAATTAAGTATTTCTATTCATAAAAATATTTATAATTGAGTATAAACTCTTAAAAAACTAAAATATATTTGGACGAAGTCGCTCCAATACCTACCTACGCGCGGTCCACCCTCGACGATGTCCGAATTATCTTCTCTTTGACGGACTGCGACAGAGCTTGCGGGTAATTACAAGGGATTGAGGGTGACGGAGCAGCCACGCTCGCGCGAATATATTCAATTTCGGGGAAAAATGATATTTTCTTGAGTAAACGGGGAATAAAATAAAACTCTCAATTTTTTAGTGTAAAAACTATTTAAGGAGCTTGTGCCGTTTTGGAGAATTTTTGCCAAATATGACAAAGATAGGTACTTTTTGGGAATTTTTTTTTCTAGTAAGGAGCTGACAAAAAACAATTTTGTTCAATTAAAAACATTAAATTAAATCCTTTTCTGTCAGCCTGTATTTTTTCTTTGCGGATCAAATGAACAGTTATTGTAATTTTTTTACTTAAATATCCAAGAATTTAGGCATTTCAATCGCACTTAAGGCCTTAAATTTAAATATTCTAATCAGATGTTCTTTATATAAGGGTGCGGAATTTTATTGTATATTATAGGCCCACTAACATAATATTTTTTTAAGTAGTGCTGTTTTGTAATTACCAGTATGGAATACCATAGACTTAGAATATACTACGCCAGTATATTCTAAGTCTATGATTTATACTGTATTCTTAAAGGACCCGAACAAGTCTCGGCTAGTGACGGAAATAAATTTAAATTCGTTTTAACAAAAATTGCAGCTTAAAAAAAATATACAAACACAAGAAGGTATTTTAGTGATCTAAACATAGACTCACAGCTGTCTGCAATTTTCAGATTTGACATAGATATTATGCAGCGTTTTTGGCTCTTGAAAATCTTTTCCCTTTCACTACAATTGACCCAAAATTATTACACTGAACTTTAAAATTGGCGCAACATGACCATGGTAAGGTGTCAGGAAAGTAGAAAAGGTTCCTCTGGAACGGTAGTATCAATGGAAGTTCCTCAGAGCTCGATTCTTGGCCCATTCCTGTTCTTAATCTATATTAATGACTTACCTTATCTTGTAGGGGACAATCACGATATAGTATTGTTTGCTGATGATACCTCTGTAATTTTCAAACTCAAACGGCAGTCAATTAATTATGACGATGTAAATAATGCTATGAATGACAAGCTCGTGGAAACTGTCCATGCGGTCGGAGCTAAGTTCTGCAAGACCCGCCACAGAAGAACACAAAAACTCTCCGATCACACTCTTAATCTCATGGCTGTTAGACGGGAGATGAAGCTACATTCTTCAACAGACTTGACAGCATACAGGCATCTGAACAGACAGATCTACATATATATTTATCTATGAGACAGATCTTCAAATGCATGCGGCGGGACTTACGCAACTTCAATACAGCTCGTATTGAAGAAGCGATCGAGCGGAACCAAGGCTCCAAAGTCTTTGCCAGAGATCTGTCTGCCAGAAAGAGGCAACTGTCAAAGCTCAAGACAGAATGTGGCAGCATCGTTTCCGGGACACCTGAGATTTTGAGTGAGATTGAGAGGTTCTATGGGCAGCTGTACACGTCATCGTTGGAGCCACACGCAAATGTGAGTAACGATCCAAGAGCGAGTCTCATCCGACACTATTCCGAAGATATCCCGGACGTCAGTCTGAGCGAGATTAGAATGGCTTTCCAGCACCTTAAAAACGGTAAGGCCCCAGGCGAGGATGGAATTACAGCGGAGCTTCTAAAAGCGGGTGGAAGACCGGTACTTGAAGTCCTTCAGAAGCTCTTTAATTCCGTCCTCCATGGTGGCATTACACCGGAGGCGTGGAGTAGAAGTGCGGTGGTCTTGTTCTTCAAGAAAGGTGACAACGCTCTCTTGAAGAACTACAGACCGATTTCCCTTCTGAGCCGCGTCTACGTGCTGTTTTCGAGAGTCATTACGAATCGTCTCGCGCGCAGACTTGACGACTTTCAGCCTCCCGAACAAGCCGGTTTCCGAAAGGGCTTTAGCACCATAGACCACATACATACCCTTCGGCAAATTGTACAGAAAATGTTACACTCAGCCATTTGTTGGCCTTTGTCTGTAAAATAATCCCCAGCGACACTGCTGCAATTTTTTTAAACAACAAATGCTTTAATGTCTATATAAAAAATAAATCGAATGTTCTTTAACCACTTATCAAAACTCCGTTACGAAAACCTATTGCTAAATAAGTCGAGTAGTTATCATTCAATATGGTGCCAAGATCAAATTCGTACGAGATCGTACTAGACACTTGACTGCATCATATGGTAATCTGTGTATGGTCTCAATTCGCACCGAGTATAAAAGAGTATACAAGTACCTAGTGTATAAAATCTGCCATCTATTTGGTTGAAGTCCCCGGGGCTAGTCCCAACTAGTCTCGAGTATTGACAGACAAAGATAGAAAGACTGTGGAATAGTGTAGTTAAAAAAGGACAGCATGTATTCTTGCACAACACGAATGCGCACTGTATTACTTTTATATACATTTAAATATAGTTCAAATTCAAATGACTGACACATGAATGATTTAGGCAAACACGAGTGAGCGGCAAAGCAGACTAGTATCGACGGTAAAAAATGTTATCTCGCTTTGCCACGCCGGTATTTCTTTGATTCGAGCGGGCCACCCCGGCGGTGGCGTAGACGCGTAGGCACAGTGAGACTAGGTGGATCAAGTATTTTAAAAGTTGGAGCAGTTGCAACCTAGTCTCGCTTAATACCTAGTGCCTAGATCTGTTCTAGTATATACGCTTCGTCTCTAGTTTGTGTTTGTCTATATCTATGGTGCTGTCTGATACGTAGTATCCACTAAGTAGTCTGTGCACAGAGTACCTTTATATATACTGAAGTCTGTGTGTCTGCTGCTGTCAAGTGTCAAGGTGTCAAGTTAAAATTAAATATTTATTTTCAACTACAAATACTTCCACATAGGCAAGTGTTTTACTATTTTGATAAATTTTCTGTAACGCTGAGGATCCTACATAATGGAAAATAATACGGATCATACTGATTCTAATAATTTCAGTCCTTTGTCTGTTCAAGATGTAGACGTAGATTTTTTACCGATTGTTTACGAAATTATACGAAGGTATATCTGCTATTAATATCTTTTGTTGTAGATATTTAATATTATACTGTCTTACTCAGTATTTTTATTTTTAAATAGTGTGGAACGTGATTTTCACGACAACTCTGCCAAAGCACGCGAGTCTCAGGATTGTAGCCAAAAGGTTTTGGAATTGCAAAAGAAATTCGACATTGCTAGATCCCAGGTATTTTTAACATGCTTTTATTAGCTTGGTATGTATTTAGGAAACGGAATTTTTGAATGTGATTTTCATCCCCTTCAAAACGTCAGATTGAATTGATACTTCGCACACTTCAAGGACCGATGGCAATGCAATAATTTAAATAGTTTGTCCTATTATACTTGCCAGGATCTTCAAGATTAGCAAATATTCCATCCCTGATACCTGGTAGTGTCCTTTTGCCAACAGCTACTACATCCAAGGAAGGCAGCAGGCGTGTAAATTTCTCATTTCCCACATGTTACTTTGAATAAAATAAAATATTGTGTACTGTACTTTTCCATCAAGTCATTTCAAATCTGTTCCAATTGTAGCTAAAAACTACAAAATCTTCACTTTAAGAGTGAATTGATGTAATAATAATAAATAAATAAAAAACATGCTATTGTAGTTAGCTGCACTAAAAGTAGAAAATAAATAATGGTTTAAAAAGTAAAATCAAAAAGCTTTTGTAGATAACCGAACTAGTAAGTAGAAAATAATTTTCAATAACTTAAAATAAGAAAATAGTGATTAACATAAATATTCGTTTTATTGTAAAAAAGTGTGGGGTGCTTTTTCAGACATTTTTATGATAATGCTAATTTTACAAATCATAAATTTTCTGCAACACTGTTTTATCTCAAAAATCCTGACTTCAGAAAATGAGTCTAAAGGTTTCAAATGAATCTTAATTTTTAAAATTCTAGGGTTGGCTTTAGTAATCTGCGGCTCGATTTAAGTGATCATTTTAGCTTTAGGTGATAAGCAATGATGCTATTGATTACCATCTAGCTGCTTTTTATGCTGGAAATCTTTAGTTTTCGAGATATCGATAATTATAGTTTTGAGGTTATATCCATTTAAAAATGATACGAAAACGAAATAACAATATAATTATTAGAGAGTCTGTCACTGTGGGGAGGTCAAGGGGGCTTATCTCAAACGCCCCAATGCAATTTCAGCTGCGTCGAAATATTTAAAATTATTTTCTAAAAATATTCATAAATCACTAATTAATACTTGAAACTGAACTTTTGTTGTTGTTGTTTTTATTATTCGCTCGAGAGAGCAAGCAAAGGAACTATGCCATACAGCCTTGTATTTTTTATTTTGACTATATAGAATTTCACTGCCTCACAATATGTTGATGCGTCACATTGTGCAGCCCTTGGGAGATTTTGATGGCAACTTGAGCCAGCAGACAGCTGACAGTTGGCGATGGTAGGTGGAAGTAATAAAATATGTTTATTTATTAAAGTAATTATAAAAGTTTACATTTTTTATAAAAGGTTACATTATTTGGTGCTAGAGCGAGCGAAGCGAGCTTGGGATTCGGGATACCCCGACTCGGACAGGTTAGGTTAGAAGGGGAGTCGAGTGAGCGAGCGAACAGACCCCTCCATCCCCTTCGTGGTTATTTTTTTATAAACCATCATCGAACAAGCCTCCCTCAACTGCGCCACGTGGAGTAGCGTTGATCTACCCTCCCCCAACTCTCTCCCCCCCACAAATCAGGTTTATATTGTCAAAAACATTACGAAAACATAACCTCAAAATGAGAATTTTAAAAATTTATAAAAAAAACTAAGCACGTCCGGCAGGAAATGGAAGTGGGGGGTGACTCTACAACTCCCCCCTTCCCTTCCCTTCCATTCATGCCGCAGATTACTAAAGAAATACCAAATTTTATACTAAAGTTTTATGTGAATTTTTTTTTCAAGTAATGTAGTTTTCATAGAGCTAGAAGTAAACTATATTCTTCATACATATTTTACGAGAAAAACGTTTTTAATAATAAAAAGTGTAAAAAATATGATTTATCACATTGTTCCTGAAAAAACATATTATGTAACTTTATAAGATAACACATTTTAGATGATAATGTGTTTTTCTTTTGTTAGGTGTATCTGATTAAAATACTTTTTTGTAGATTTATTTAATCTTTTTTAATTTTAAACTAAACTGTAACACAGTGACTTGAACACAATAATAGTCCTTTCAGCAACTTTTCTTATTTTACAATAATAAAAATATCTTCTTTTAATTGACATAACTTATGGCTATAGTAACTACTTGAATTTGTTTAAGATGTTTTCTATTATAATATTAAAAACTATGAGATCATAAAATCAGTCATAATTTATGTATCACCATACCATTAATTATCACAATAGTTCGAATTGTTCTGAAAGTAGAACTAAAAGTAAATTCAAAATAGCTACCAAAAACAATAAAAATTAAAATAAACACACAAAAAAATATAAAGTTTCAAAGAAGGGCCTATAATATCTTGGAATGAGATTTTTTTCTACTAATTCCATGAGATCTGCTATTTTTCACTCTGATATTCCGGGCTTCGCCTCATATACTTTTGATACGATAACATCTAACTATATAATCTAACATCATATAGCCCGAGGTTCATTTTTCAAGAGGTTTATTATCATCATCTCACCAATTTTAGCAAGATGGTTTTCATCATCTTTCTACAGCATTACACCCATTTGTGTACATATGTTCTTCCAGTTGTAGATGTCGCCATAACACTTCATTTACTCGAAAAGGTTCACTCTTCTTTCTGGCTGGCTGAAAAAGTGAAGACACCACATCTTCCACAGAATTCGCAGTAAAACTACATTCTTACTACCCAACTTCCAATAGTCTTCATTTAGTTGCAGCCGTTGACTTTTAGTAATATTTGTTCCAAATTTGAACTTACATGAACCTTTCCAGGGCTCCTTCAGATGACGTTCCGATATAGTTCTTCTTGTTTAGCTTGACTCGTATTATTTTCCATTATTCCGTTATCTTTTAGCGATTTTTCTTTTCCAGCCTTCTTCATTTCTCTGTCTCTTTCTTCCTCTTTTTGTTGGAGTTAGAGTATTTGTATGTGCTGGTTCTGTCGTTATGTTAGTTGAACTTGATATCACTTTCATTGTAGAGGGATTTATGACATCTAGTATTACGTTTTTGTCTGATATGATGGATATAGATGAAATTATCGAGGAAGATTCTGATATCCTTTTTGGAACTGTATTTGTTGCCTCTTCTGGCGGACAGTATTCTTCTGCATCAGAACTACTAAATGTTAAATATTATTTATTACAACTGCACCTTAATTTAAAAACATAAGTTTTTAAATTAATGTGCAGTTGAAAGTAAATAGTAGTTAGTAAACATACAAACCTAAAATTGTATGAAAACTGGTCGAATTTTAATCACTAGGCGACCACTAGTTCTTATTATTCAGTCACTTCACTAGTATTCATAAGGGTAAAGCTTGTTTGATCATTCATTGATTTTAATTGTATTATATGCTAATTAATGTTATCCCTTCAAGTTGTTTTACTGCTTTATTGCGTTTGATATTTAAAAAAAAAATTGAGATTAAATCCATTATTGTTTATAACAAATAACTGGCCCCTTTTTTTAGAATTATTATAATCAATTGATCTTATGCTATTCCTTGTGTAGTATCTGGTCAAGATAAATCATTAATGAAAAGAAAAAAAATGAAAAAATAATTAGTGTAAAGGATTCTATTCTATACAGAGTTAACAAAGTAACATTAGAGCAGCAAGCACTGTTTATCCAAATAATTAATTAAGTTATAAACTTCTACTTTAAAAGAAAAAATAATGCATATATTTAACAAGAGCAGTGTGACTAAGGGAAAGTTTAAGGATTCTATGCTATTAATCCCAGGAGAGATGATGAGAGCGGCCAGTGTTGTGAACATAGGCAAACTTTTGAAGAAATTCATGCCAGACAGTGGGCTTAAATGGCTGATGATGGGATATAACTCATTCTCATAAAGATTAAATTATCAATAAGAAAAATTACATTCTCATACTGATTTAATAAAGTTGGGACAACATAACTTAATCCATATAACCCATATAATTCAATATTTAATATTATTTAGTCCTAATCACTATGGTTTAAAAAAAAAGTAAGTAACCATGTGACTATAAAATAATGACTTGTCACAAGTGATGATTACTCTATAGTGATATTTTTTATGAAAACTAATTGTGGATTGATAAAATAATAGTGATATTCTATTCGGAAGTTATTGTAATTGGGTCCCATATACGAAAGTCCAAATCATATGAAATTTAGACAGATCTCGCATATTTTAAGGGACATGAAGTGTAAAATTCACTGTTTTTTAAGATGTATTGTACATTGGCATATTTGTACATTTATTCTATGTTAGAGGAATTTTCAGCTTTCAAAATATCTCAAAAAGAATTGATATTATCTCAAAACCGATTTCATTTGAAATTTATTGAAGTAAAGTTAATATAATTAATAATTTATTAAAAAAATATGCCTATTATTTACATTGTATGGGGAAAGTAGATTGAAAATATGGATTTTTAAAATATTTTTCTATAAATTGTGACTTATATTGAAAGAACTTGTATTACTTTATTTATTAAAATACTCTAGGAGTTCTAATGTTGTGATATGTTAGAAAAACAATTGAAAAATGGCGGGAAAGTGTTTTTTACTAGTTATTTTCTTTTCTTAATGTCCGATATGTATATTAAAACTAGCTAGATACAAACAGTAAAGCCAAAGAGATTTTTCTTAAATTTTATACAAACAAAATTCGAAGAAACTTTTCCCCCGACCTATTAAAAGAAATTTTTGCATTAATTAAGTAACAAATAATTTTTTTTCAAATTTGCTTCCAGATAAAGCGTCTGCCTGGTATTGACTACAACAAACAAGACCAAATAAAGCAGTTTGAAATACTCAGAACACAGTTGCGTCTGAAGCGTGAACTACTACAGAAATACCGTAATATGTGCGCATTTGAAACATCATTCAAGTGAAAACAGCAAAAAAAAATGCCACTTCGTACCTTGCTCAAGTATCTTGCTAACAATGAGCGACTGGTGGAAAGAATTGCAGATTCATACCCAGTGAGAAGGGCAGCACAACTAGCTATTTCTGTATTTTATAGGGGAAAGGCAAAAGCTTCAGAAATGGATCCTCAAAAAGTCAATACATTTATGACATTCATTAGAAGATTTACGCAAAACTTAAAGGAAGGAATTGAAGATGCTAAGAAACAAATAAAAAAATGAACTGATTTTTCTGTATAATACATTGTTTTTGTAATAAAAAAAGTACATGAATCTAATAAAGTAAAAGGAAAGTAGTTAAAACTATTTTCAGTTCAAGAGATTTGTCAGAAATTATTTGGCTTAAACCTATCTGTACTGTCTTTCCAATAGCTGTTCATCTGTCACACATTAACCGTAAACATTACATCATTAGATCATCACTGTCACAGTCTATCGATTATATAATGAGTAGGTTGCTTCACATTCTATTCACTATATTTTTGAACACGTTTTAATAATTTAACTAAAAGATGGCTTTACTTATAATCGTTGACTATTACTTACTTAACCCTTTCGCTGTCCAGTGCACGATATATAGGTCATTGCTATTATCTTACTATTGTGTCTGAAAAGCGGACAGTGAAAGTGTTAAGCATTACCTCTATATCTGTCTCTTCCTATTGTCATTTAGTGATAAGAGAGCAATTATAAGCATTAAATAATAAACATCACTATACGCAGTCATATGTTATCACAGTTATACTAAAATACAAGACAATTTCATTGATTGGGTCACCAAACACATACAATCGTAAATTGACCATAATGAGAACATCTATGAAGGTAGATAAAAATAAAGTAGTAGTAAGCTAGTTTCTTGTCAAATTCAAAAAGTAGAAAGTTCTTTTTTTTTTATAAAATGGTAGGTATAACCTATTTATGTAAGAGTGGTCCCACGGCTATCAGCTTTGGTCCTGTGCCTGATCTCTCCGGTCGTGTCGTGATTATAATGTTTCCTCTACACTACTCGCGAAGTAACTTCGACGAAGTGCTCGTCGAAGTCGATCGCAGTCCGAAGAACGTGACCACACACGTGCTCAGGCGTGTCACTTTGTAAAAATCTGAGGTATGGAAAATGGTGGCGCGATTTTCAAATTTGTTCGCATTACTCGTGGGGTATTAAGGTTTAAGAGTTTGCAGTGTATATACTCAACTTATTTATTGAACTATAAGATGTGGGGTATTGAGGTTTAAGGGCTTGCGATTTATTTATATGGGGTTTGTAGTAATATGCGATTTATTTCCTAATTTCAGCTATGGAATTCCATACCTTGAAAAACTTGAGGTATGGAGTGCTCCATACCTTCCATAGTGGAAGTGACACCCCTGCACGTGCTACTTCGTGAAGAGCTCAGTCGTCTTGAGTCTCCCGCACCCTTAACATGAATGACGTTCAAGAGGCAGCTGCTTTATGTACCTAATTGTGTGAACAGTACGACGTCAATGCGTTAACTAAATAAATAATTATGTAGAAAGCTATATATTTAATATTTATATATATAAAAAAATATTCATAACTGGCGTAAGCCGAGTAGTGTAGTGAGACGCTTCGTGTAACTTCGGGGTACTTCGCGAAGCCCTTTGACTCTGGCGCAAAAAACCGACAGCGATCGGAAGTTGCCCGAGGCGAAGCGAGGTTGGACGAAGTGAATCGAAGTACCTCTCTACACTATTCGCCTCGTTCAACTTCGATTTACTTCGCGAGTAGTGTAGAGGAGGCATAAGTTATATGTACTACGTACTAGAGAAGCCATTCCAAACAAAAATTGTGTCCTACTCTATGTCTTCGCGCATGCGCGGGAGTAGTAGTCGCGCATGCGCGAAGACTTTAATTTAATATAAAATAAATATAAGAATTTAATATAAAATATCTTAATTTAATCTAAACAAACATATTTCTAAATAAAATGTAATAATAATTATTTTATGGAATTCACAAATCTTCAATTTACGCAATATTTAGTTTGTATGGATTGCACTACAGTTCAGTTGAACATAGTCAATGTTCGGAATGGCTTCTCTAGTACGTAGTACATATAACTCAATGGCTAGTGTCCGTTGAGACTGGCCGCCGTGACTGAAATCGGTCTGGAGGACATTACTCATAGTTGCAACAGTGACAAATAGTCCGGGTCTATTAAAATTTTGAATTTTTGAACGGATAAACAATCGGGCATAACGGTTCTAGATTTCAACATACAATATCATTATTTAACATGACACACTATTTGTGACACCCATGCCCAACAGTTTCCCTTCACCATTCTTGTTGGTTTAAAAATACAATGGGAAATAATAACACATAATATATTGAGCTAGTTTAATTTCCGAAAACTTGAAATAGGTCATTAAAAATATCCTCTTACTTAAACTACAAAATCACATTACAATGGTACAAAATAAAGAAATACTGAATTACAAGTTGAGTCAGAGACGTCAAGCTCAACAATGATATAAACAACTATCGAAGAATTAGGTCATTAATAGTTTTGAACTATGTACTACTATAATTACATATTATTATTTAACTCTAAGACAGTTGTTTCTATTTTCAAAACCGTTATAAAATCATTTAAAGATTAGTCTATATTTAAAGATACACTAAACACCACAATAGTATTAGACCATAAATAAAATAGATACGACATTTTTATTCTTAATAGCCGATAAAAAATCACAAAATATGAGATTACTTCTAATGTGTATATTTTTAAACAGGTAAGTTTTTCAATAATTGGTTGTCAACTGGAAAAACATTTAAAAAATTATAATGGCAAGTTATCCAATTGTAGATTTAATATATGTCTGTGCAGTTTTGTTTTAACTATAAACTATGTATAGTTTAATGGTCGGATTGAACAAATGCGTGCGTAACACGTCCGTCTGAAGTGCGTTACGGCTGCAGTTGTAATATATTATGAAACTGTATGAAAGGTGTCACACCACTTGCATTCCGTAAAGCGGCGATTTAATTTTTTCCGAACAGTTTCATACATTAAAAGTAAAACTGCAACATGCACATATTTGGTATGGTTAGCCTCAGTTATTTATTATTCCCCTGAATATTTTAGTTGCTTAATTATCCAACCAGCAATTTTGTGTTTTTTTTTCTCTAATATAGTGTGACAACTGTCAAATATAATTTAAACTAAATGTACTTTTTTTCAAAAATCATATAACGCAAAACTAGAACTGCATAAACAGTACCTAATCTATTCAATAATAACAGTAATAACCAATGCTTTGAAGAAAATAACCAAATATGTATGTGCATTTTTGGTAAAACGAAATATATTTTCAATTTTAAAAACATAAAATATTCACTTTGAAACTTATTTTTTAATATATAATATTTTTTGACCGATAAAGTAAATTATATAATCTGTATCTCTCTGATGATAAAAAAAAACAATTTTCACCAATATTTCTTCACAACAAACTGATATATTTGAAATAATATAAAAAGGCATTTTTACATTTTTCATAAAATGTAACAGTAAAAATATAAAAAAATACAACTCTTAGGTACTGACATTCAGTATTTTGCATCACAGTGGAAAAGTGGTATAATAATTATATACCACTTGGTAAAAAATCGAATTTCAAAATATAGAATCGAAGAGCTCATTCACACGAAAGCTAAGACGTGAAGAACTCAGAAAGACGAATTCGATTCAATGCCTCTACTGTGGTGTTTTAAAATCTAAATCTAAGATAAAAAGAACTGATATGTGTGAATAAAACTATATAGTTATTTTTTTTCTATTGTGTATATATTCTTTATACTCTATTATATATATTCTAAGGTGTTCAACCTTTCATCGACATTGTATGAGCTTCCGTGAAAATGAGATCTAACTAGGGCATCGGAACCGGTTTTTCCCGGTTCCAAAGAAACCAGGAGTTCCCGGTTTTCAGTGGTCACGAAAAGAACCGGTTCCGAAAATTTAAAACTCGGTTCTTTCGGCTCCTTTGTTTCCTTTACAAAATTTATTAAAAAGTATACACCGCAATGTGTATAATGGCAAACAGTATGATTTGTAATTATATTTTATTTAATTTTTTTGAATTATTTTTTTTTATCAATATAGTTTGATAAAACGATCAGTGATCGAGATCTATATTACATTTTTTAAGGTGGCGCCAAAATCTTTGCCTTCGCTAGACTCGTTGGTTTTACTCTAGGCTCAAAGCGAAGACGTTAAAATTTGCTATAAAAAAATTAATTGAAATGAATACTCATCTTAGTAATAAAATGGTCACTGCATTGCGAAAACAATATAAAAAACGTCGACTAATCCGAGCATCAATTATTAAAAAAAAACCCTGACAGTTATTTTGCGAGTATGGGCGAAGATGCAATTTTAATCTTTTCTGGGTTTACAAGTGATGAAATTTTACATGAAATTGTAAAAGTATCCCTTGAAAAAACGCCAGCAATTGGAACTCAAAATTGGCAGGAATTACATAAATCCCCCCCCCCCCCCCTCCCTAACAAATGAAGAGGAACTTAATAGAGAGTTGTCTAAAGCTAAACTTAATAAAGACAGATCAAGAAAATGACTTAATAAATACTGTGAGGGTTAAACGGTTCTATTTGAAAATGGTGGGCAAAGACGAGAGTACTAACTAGTAACCCTCGTCTTTGACCTAACTACTCTAACAGTATCCGTAAAGTATACTCTATGATAGAATATTGCATTGTTAATTTGTTATAATAGAATAGAATTTCTATTCTATATTATTTTTATGTTGATTAATATTAAAATATAAGTAATATGAAATAACTGTTTACGTGCAATTGTAAGATGAATGTTCCTAGTTAGTATGATATTTGATTTGGTTTACTTTAATGTTATAAGAAATATGAAGTAAGAAACTATTACAAGTATTACTTGAATAATTACTTTTAAAAACACGTTAGGTTAACCAAATAAAAAGAACTGATCATTTACAATATTTAGATAGATTAAGTAACCTACTTAGTATTATTTTATTAGTATACCATTATGACTCAGAAATGATTGTTACCAAAAGACTTGAAAAGGCTTTAAAAATAGTAAATAGAACTTACCTACGATTTACAATAAAATGTTTTATTTATGAATATGATAGGATTATAGCATAGTTATTCACATTGAACGAAAGTAGCCTCCAATCTAAAAGAAAGAAAAGAACCG